ATTGTTTTAATTCTATATAGATAATATAGATAATAATAATGAATGATTCAATTAATATTTGCATTAAAGATAGTGGCTGTAGCCTTTTTAAAGCCAGTTTTGCCTTTCTCAAATAGTTTTGGCCACCATTATTAATTTGTGTCAAGAAATAAGTAATAATAAAAAATAAAATAAATAAAAATAAATACAACCATCATTATCATTATTATTATTTTCACTAATCTTAATGAAGCTATTATTGCTAATGTTATTACTTTCATTGTGAACTAACACTTCTCCAAGCTCAATGCTGTCATATATATTGATGGGTGAAAAGGAACCACTGACATTAGATACATTGTTTTTCCTATTATTATTAGATTGGCTAATTTTACTTATAATTTCTTGAACTAATGTAGGTTTAGTAGTAATATTGTGATTAGCGTTAACTTTAGTTGATTCATTCAACATATTTTTGGATTTCTTGTTTGATGAATTTCTCAAAGGGTATTTTCTTTAAAAAAAAGTTAAAAAAAAGTATATTATCATTACGCGTACATATTAAATAATAAATCTTGTAACACTAAAAAATTCAAAAAATGAGTTAAATGAAAATATTTTGCGTGTAATTTACACATCAAAAAAACTGCATAAATTTTTGCCATATTATTATAGAAATGCGATTATTTCATAAGCATAAAAATACATAGGAATAAAGTTTATGTAAGTTTACAGATATTATAGCGATTTATGCATCCGTAAATTTATGGATTCATCTAATTTATATAATGCTTTGACATAACTTTTGATGTTTTTGTAATTTTATGCCTAAATTTTGTGTAAAAAAGCATAAACATGTAATTGTCGCGTAAGATGAGAGTCTAAAAAATTTGCTGATGTAATCATTATCGTAGTCATTCAAACACGTATCATCATAATCGAAGAATCATTATGACTTACCATAATATTGATTCATATTATTGTTTTACTGTAATTATTTGTAAATATGACATAATAACAGTCTTCTAACTTTCTTATGACTTCGTGGTGTTAATGGATTAAAAATGTGTATAAAGACTCCAATCAATGGCAATATTTTTGATCTTGAAACATAAAAAAATTGTATTACTCCAAAAAATTTGATGTATTCGTATTTTATTATTATTATTATTACAACAAATTAAAGTTGGCACCCGTAATGTAAAATTATGGTATTACGGTGTTGCAACTTGTGTTGCAACAATAAAACATTGGAGGGTCGGCGTTGCAATTAACCGTAATGTTGTAATATTTATTATACAAATAAAAAGTATGATCCTTACGTTTCTAATTATATCAATTCTTTTCTCCCACGAATATAATAATTAAAGATGACTGATAACAAAAATAAACTTGGTCCAAAAATATAATGATACTTGGGAATATTTTACACGTGGTAACCATCTTGGTAATGGACATTACTAAGTTACGTGCAAGCCATGTTTGTCATTTTTTAAAGATGCTCGACCATATCTTTACATTCTCATGTTTCTCAATGTTCAAAAGCATCTGAGCTATCAATAATGAAGTAAATGAATTGATTTTACAAAGTCAACATTTTTTAAACAAGGAAAACTCCTGGACATTCATATTTTTGTTCAATTGATCTAGAAGAATCACGCATAAAACAATCGATAGGGCTTTAGTTATGATGTTTATTATGTGTGCATTATCTTTCCTCCTTGTAGAAAACCCTTTTTCATTGATTTTTTAAAAGCATTAAATCTTGGATATCAACCATCTTCAAGAAAAGCGATATAGACGAAAATGAAGATCTACATACTTATTTACCGCAATTAGATGATGAATAGATAAACGAATTCAAATTTTTTGTGTTTATGTTTATAATAATAATACTGTTTTTAAAAGCGGTCTAACTACATCGTGTTTATGTTGCAACACTATGTATAATATGCAAAGTTACGGGTATGTTGCAACATTACGTTTTTGTTGCAACTTTGCAACATTTGATATTTGATTACGGGGGACAAGCTTACAACAAATAGAACTATAATATTCGTTTGGAGCACCAAAATTAGCCAAACGTGTTGTTATTATAATATTACTATTTATTTGTTGAACAAAAAAATTTATTTTATGATACAAAGAATTTAATAAGCAAAATTGTTCTGGTCACGTGCCACGAGCATTTGGCTAAACTGACTAACTATTTAGTCATATGTTAAGTCAAGTTTAGTCAATCAGAATTTCGTTCGATTAAATTATGCGACCCTGTGTGTATTCATGAATACAAACCTAAATAAAACGAATAATTCAAAATTTATTTTTTTAATAATTTTTGTGGCAATATTAAGATTAAGATTGTTATTATTATGCATAGCCCATTTAAATGTTGGATAACATATTAAGATTTATACAAATATACGCCCCAAACCCAATGTAATTTTAGCCGATACAAAAAATTGTTGTTTTTATATATACGCACAGTCACACAGTTGACAAAGCCGAGAATCCAGTTTTCTGGAATAGTATTTAAAGGTTTTAGATATTTACTTACTTTTCTGAAAAAAAAAACCTTTTTACAATGGGCAATAGCATTTCCATAATCATCGTTCAAAATTTTGGTGATGTCAATATTAAACCTGTTTGCAAGGCTATAAATATTCCTGGGGCTAAGGATTATCCAAAAAGTGATCTAGCCGCACAGTTATCTTGGATCGACCAATCTGCGCTGGAATTCTTGACTAAGAACTGGACCCAAAATTATCTTTATGAGTGGAGGGACGATCGAACTGCACCTGATGGCGCGGTAACTAATGGTGCAATTCAAGGAACGAAGTGGGTTGCTGAGGGTTTCGGAGGTGCGGATGTATCTAATTATTTTCAGGTAAGGTATTTGGTTCCAAGTTCTTTAACAATTAAGGACATATAAAAATAACGGAAATCCTTCGCTGAATTCGCTACACTTAATAGAAAAAAATTACAGAAGATTTTACTCAATTACAACTTATAACTTTAGGCAATAAACTTGCCGCAATTATTCGGGAATTACTTAATGGCCCTGAACAAGGCTTTCGGGACCAACCAACAACTATGACCATCGGGGACACCAAAGTCAATGTTTACTATGGAGGAGGGACCTTCAAAGGTTCGAAGGAAAATGTCGTGTTTATTTCTTATCTGGTTAGCTGGTATACTCCAGCATCTCTAGGTGCATAATAAATTATATATTCATTTTTGTATTAGTTGTAAAGCTTGTATGAAAAATATATTATTAAAATTATATCTGTTCGCCATGCTGGACAAAAATGTACCACATTTTTTTGTAATTAATTGCAACATTTTGTTGTAAATAATAAATAATTGGAACATTTTCAATTGCAACATTTTTGTTGTAATTAAATTTTTATTAAAACATCATCTAATCTAATCAAATTTATTTCTTTATAACACCAGTTATAAATTTTAATTTACATATTATAAAATCAACTGATCATGCGACTATTACATATTACATTTTTGGCAAGACAATTATCATCATCTCATGTAGATAATTAATATACACTCACTGGTCATAAATATATTGCAAATCATCGGAAATAATTGAATAAAGAAACATGAAAAAAATAAAAAATTTATTATCCTAACCACATTCGCTTATTAAGTAAAAATTCATCTTCATATCAAATAGTGTAATATACTGAAGTTTTGCCGCATATAAACAACAACTTGTTGTTTTACGAACCTTAAAAATAAAAATGAATTTTTCGGAATTTTCAAAAAAATCTTTAACTCGAAAATTAACCACAATGTCAAGTTCTAACGACCTTTGT